GAGAGAGAGAGAGAGAGAGAGAGAGAGAGAGAGAGAGAGAGAATTCAGTGTTTCAAGAATTCAGTCACATCCCAGTTACCGGGACCCCTTCCATCATATTCTTTCTTGTAAAATTTCTATCAATTCACAGGTTGAGGACCAAGTTTATAAAGCACAAGCTACTTGTGGATACCCTATTTCCAAACAATAACAAGTGCTATGAGGAATTCTTAGAGAAAGTTGAGAAAACTTAGAAGTGCATGGCTTAATTTCTTCTTGTGGCTGGCTCAATAGAGACATGGACTGATTTCACTTGATAATATTCTTCTAGTATTATTTATTAGAATGTATGTATTTTTTAATTTTCTGATCTACTATGAATCTACATGAACAGGAAAGGACAGAAAGTGGTAGAGATATCAGGAAAGGTTCTACAGTGATTGATTGAATGTTGTTGACTCCACTGCTGGTGTGGTCTGGATGCATGAGACTCCTGTGTCAGTTACTGGACAGCACTTTTTGAGTCACTTTTCTCTAGTAGAGTTTCTTCCAGAAAAGAACAACAATAAAAACTACAAGGGAGAAACACGTGGTAGGATTGTAGAGTAAATAAGGGAATCGAGCTAGGCATTTGTACCAACAAAGACACTACCCATTAATGTGTTCCAGTTGGTAAGTTTCTTGAGAAAACAGTAGTGTGCTCCATTAGAAAGACAGTTGCTAGTTATAGGAAATTCAAATTGAGGTCTTGTCAGTAATATATGCTTGATTTCACCAAGCAAATTAGTGAACTGAGGATTGTTTTATTCTTCCATCCCATTCTGTCAACATCAAAGGAATGCAAGTCCAGAGATAGTGCGGGGATTGGTCATCTCTGTCTTCCTTGGGGTGTAACTTGAGAACAAGACAAGAGAAATGTATTAAATAACCTAAATGAAATGAAATTAAAATAAACCAAATAGTCTAACCCTGTTAGACAGGGAGTGAAAAGAATGTATGGTAGTGACTAAGTTGATGTTGAGAAAAGAATTCAGAGAGGCATGGCAGTAAACAATTGTCAGTAAAACTGAGAAATACCATGTTTGTAGTCTAACATTTTCTGTACTGTTTTAAAATCTCAAGGTAATATATTTTATTGGATATTGATTTGGGGAAGACAATAATCATGTCAACTGATGTATATTTCTTAAAATATGTGGATAATATTATGTATTCTATGTGATTTTAGATAAATATAAAATAGTAGGATTCTCTATTACTTTCTCAAGCATGTTCAGTATTGTTTATTCCTACTCCCTCTCTGTCATTATGTATGGCCTATGCCACCCTTCCCAATTAAAGCCTCCCTCACTTTTCTCCATTTCCCATCATATCACCTGTATCTAGTCTGTTGGTCCGAGGTGTTCAGGAGCCTCCCACAACAATACACACTATTGCTTTTATTTTTTAATACCTCACAGATATTGAAGTTAAGTCCATGTTGCCTAAGAAACTATACACTTTTTACATAGGACTCAGTAGACTCAAGATGGATTTTATGGGGAAGTCTTGTCCCTGAGAATAGCTTTCATTGTATCAGTAGTTGCTATTTAAGCTGCAAAGGGAAAAAGTGATCACTATACCTTCCCAGATTTGATGTCTGCAAAGCACAAGAATGATTAGTACCAAAAGATATCCCTAAAGGTGCAATAATGGCATGTCTATCTTGCAGTAACCAACTGCTATCTAAATGGGCTTAGGCCTAGTCAATAGGAGGGAAATAACATCTGTACTGAACCATAGCCAACTGCCCTTGGCTAGTATTGTCCTGGATCTAGGGCAGGACATAATAATGCCTATTTATTAAACCATTATAATTACTAATTGCAATCTAAATATTTCTCCTTATACACATAGTTAGGTATAGCAATTACTCCATATCAAAGAAGCTTCTTTTTTGCATCAGTCCAAGACCATTACAGAAAGCCACAACCGATCAAAATGCAGAGAAAAAACTGATCATGGGGTTTTTTATGCCAATTTACACATATATAGATAGACAATCCTTATACCTAAGGCTCTGAAATCATTAGGAAGGACATAGTAGAAAGATTGGAAGGCCCAGGGGACCAGGATGTCTGCATGAGATTGTATTTTTTAGATATAACCAGAAATCTGCACCAATGAACTCTTAATAATATTGATGCCTAAACAAGACTTGAACAATTCCAGTATGAGTTGATATCCCAGAGTACATGACAGAAATCTCACTGGGCTCTAATTCTAGTTGAAGAGCTACTGGCAGTTAATCACTACTTATAGGAAGAATTAGTCTTCTTCAGTGATGAGCCCATAATTAATTATCTAATATCAAATGGTCTGCCTTAAAAACAAATATAAAACAACACTAAGCAAACTCAGGTGTGTGTGTGTGTGTGTGTGTGTGTGTGTGTGTGTGTGTGTGTGTGTTTAACAAAAGGAAATAAAAGAAAAAGAGGCCTTGGATTTGAGGAGACGTTGGGGTGCATGGGAGGGGTGGGGAGAAGAGATGGGCAAATGACGTCATTATATTTTAATTAAAAATTAAATACTTTAAAAATTGATGACACTTATGTATAGTGCAGTCTCATAGTACTTCTGTTGTTTATCCTTTTACTATAAAAATAAGCCCATAGAAAGTGTCAGTTTTCATAAAGTACTGAGGCTTTCTCAGTTCGTAGTAGAATGGATCAACTATAGTATCACTCCTTGCTTTAATAGGGTGGTATCTTTGAACTGCCTTACTTGCAAACAAAAATTCAGTTAATGATGAAAATTGTTGATACAGACATCCCAATGCTGTTGATAAATTTTGTATTACATGAACAAAAGGAAGGTTTAAAAATTAGATTTTTAGAAATTATCTTTTTAAAGAGTCAACTTTTATTCAAGATAAAACAATTCATCATATCCAAAAGTTATAAAAGACAAATTTCCAAACAAAAAGATGTTTAACAATCATATCAAAATTAAATGGGCATGAAGCTAACAATCTCTGTCATAGACAAACCGGCACTTGAGGAGCTTTAGATGACCATTAATCTTCCGTGAGTCTCTGCTCAGGCACTGAAACAGGTTATGAAAAGCAAAAACACGAAGGTCTTCATCAGGTGACTGCAACGATGCCAGTCCCTTCCAGACAGGGTACTCTGCAACTTCTATGAATCTCGGATTCACCTAATCACCAAAAGGAAAGTAACTTATTATTATTATTTTATGTTGGTCTTCATTTATTATAAATGGTGAATGAAAATTTGCGGGGAAGATAAGATTATAAAATTTCAGACAAAATCATGGAATCTAATGTACCCAAGTGAGGGTAGTGGGAATGTACTTGCCTCGAAAATTCTATGAGAGGGATCTTTGGATATGTTTTCTGAACATACTAGATTCCAGATTGTGGATGTTCTTGCATATAAGGCAGATGGAGAGGTGGGAAGGTGCTACTTGCCTATAGACATGGATTTTGCCAAATGACATTGTAGGACTTAGTGTCAGTTTTGTTTGTTGTGAAGGAGTTTTAAAATGCCCTCAGTATTGGCCCTGATTTAATGTCTATGCTTTCCTGATCCTGAAGAAAATCATTGCCCTTTTCTATATTTCAACTAAATCTGTTGTTGCAGAATTCATGTATAGAAATCTCTCTTGATGATGCTTTCAGGTGCAAATAGCCCAGGGACTGTTGTGATATGGGGATCTGGTGATATTGTCAGGAATCTTTTGCACTGCTAAAGAAAGGTAATTTCTCAAAGGCCTATGAGGAGCATCTATTTTGTACTAAAATTCTTGAAATATGGAATAAGACATCTTAGAGATACTTTGTGTTACTAACAAACTCTTAGAAGCAAAACTTTCTAAAAGACTACCTCACTTAATTTTGCTCTATCAAATTTCTTATTAAAGGACTCATCTATCTAAAGAACAAGAAAAACAAAGGAACATAAGAAAACTACAAACCGTGCCAAGTATTCTCCTAATGCCTTCTTGAAGTTCCCTCATTGCTGTATCTACAATGTTGGCTTTTGCTATGATTGCAGTCGGGGCTTCTTCCATTCTACTCAGCTCAGTCACTGCATGACTCAGAGGCTCTTTCCAAGCTCCCAACATAGTGAGTATCTCTTGTAGAAGGAAAGCACTCTACACAACCATAATTGAAGAATCACATTAAATTTTATGAAATTATAGCAATGTTAGTACTTAAGTGGCATTTGCTCAGAAAATGAACAAACAAGCATGTATTATTATATTTTTATAAAATAATTTTTTAGATGTACATGTTATAGAAATGTATAATTCAGACATTCATCTGTAGTTTGATTCAATCACAAAAAGTATGTCTTATTTGACTACTACATATTCTAATAATAAATATAGTTGATAATACTTTATTTTCCTTTGAGATTCTACTATCTGCCCTCCTGGTCAAAACAATAGTCTTTGGTTTCTTTATTTCTCCACAAGGAACCTAGTGTGAGCAAGAACTTAATAGGTGGTTATAGAAACACATTCACATAAAATTGATGCCAACAATTCAATGGCAAGGAGCCCAAAATCCTTTCACATAGGTTTTCTTGTACAACATAATCCAAAATTGTTCATTAATGCACTAATTTATTAATTTTAAGTTATTTGAATACCTTATAACAAGTATCCAATAAAGTAAACCTGATCTTGATACTTTTTGCTTTCATCAGTCTACATACAAGCCAGCTGAGGAGCCTATGTTTAAACATGCACAGGTGAACAGCAATTGAACAGTATTGCCTTGAACAGGAGAATTGATGGATATACTGGAGAGATGGCACAGAAGTTAAGAACACTGCATGTTCTATGAGAAGACGCAAGTTTGGTTTCTAATACCCACACAGTGACTTACAGGCATGTCACTGCTCTTCACAGAGACCTTACACCTTCTTCTGGTCTTATCAGACATGAGGGACACATGTAGTACCCATAAATGTATTCAGGTAATATATATATAATAAATACAAATTATATATATATATATATATATATATATATATATATATATATATATATATATATAATACAAATCTTTCCCAAATGAGAGAGAATTGATGGAAATCACAAGAGTTTGACCTCCCAGGGTGTGTTCACTGCCAAGATAATAATGAAAACCACCTCTGAATAAAATGCTGCTGTACTGATGCCTGATAGCTACTCTATTGGTTAACGAGAAAAAAAGAGTAGAAAGGATTCCATTGATCCAACATTTAAGCACTGTGATATGACATAAAGTACAAATATGTTAGGCTCCATTCATAGCTCTTCTAGCATGGGTGTGCCTTGTAAGCCAAAATTTGGACATGGCTGCTAGGTACTGCATAGGAAATATTTAAATGTGATGAAAGATTGAGTAACTGGTGATAGAAAGATAGTTTGCTGAGAAGAATATGACATGATTAAGAGTGTGGGCTTGAGTTGGATGTAGCCCACAGAACCATTCTTAGTTAAATAGACTTTACACAATCTCTGAAATTTAGTTTTCCTATCTTAGTCACTGCAGCAAGTGAAACTTGTCTAATAACTTTAGCAGGATCTATTGCAACAATATCAGTAGACTGTTTTGTGAAGTTTCCAACATGAAGTTTATGTCTACATATATTATCTCTTCATCTTTCTTCTTTTACTTTTCCTTATGTTATGATGCTTATTATTAAAGAGAATAATACTATTCTCATTAATATACAAATTAATGGTGGACTAAAAAATCATGGTGTAAGAACAATTAGACATGATGTGCTCATGTTTGACGTTTGAAATTCAGGTTAAAACATGCTAAGTTTTATTAAATCAAGCAGAGATGGCATGATATATAGAGCTTGTTATCACAACCCAGGGCATAGTTGCATCCTGAGAATTGTAGTATTTTAAAAGAACTCTTTGTTCAGCTGATTTTCAGTTAAGGCACAGGAAAAGGCAGTGAATTCAGTGTAAAATGAACATGCAGGTTAGAAACCAAAGTAGAACAGGAGAGTCTTGAAAGTCAACAGATGCCATGTTGATCAGTAATATGCAAAGCTGTAAACACAGGAGCCTTTCATAATGTATAATAAATGAAACTGTGTTTGTGTTTCCTATGAATACACATGAATACACTTAAGCATGTATGCAATTCTGTTCAAAGTGTCCTACATAATAACAACAACAACCTCAGGTGTGGGTACTGGTAAACAGGTTCTCTGGTGAACAATTTATGAATCTGCTGTACTATTACTTAGATTTTAATTTTACTTACAATTTATCAGCTATGTAACAAAGATTGTTCTTTGATTGTAATCCCCTCCTCCATTATTCTGCATGTGTGATTGTAGCTACAGTGGCCAACTTCAAGACCAAACCAATGGCCTGCTTAATTCTTTAGGTTAAAAAGCACAAGCTGAAGACTCACTTGCATTTGTCCAGTTTCCTCTTCCGTTAGCAGAATAGCAAAGGTGGAAGTGTGACAGCTGCTTTGGGCCCCATCAAGGTACCACCTGCCTGGTGTGTATTGTACATCCTGCAACTGATGAAAAAGATTTAATTATCTTAAATTTGGAAATGAATAAATTTATATATGACCAGAATACTAACACATTTAGTGGGTGTATAATTGTTTAACCTTTGTGTGTGTGTGTGTGTGTGTGTGTGTACAATGTATGTATGTGTGTGTGTTTATGTGTGTGTTTGTGTTGGTCTGTCTCTCCATATTTCTGTGTACATGAATTTCTGTGTGCATCAAGGTAGAAATGTAACAATCAGAGGACCACCACTGTTATAGTTTGCTCTCCACTTTCATGGAGACAACTCTCTTTTTTTTTTTTTTTTTTTTTTTTTTCAAGACAGGGCTTCTCTGTGTAGCTTTGCGCCTTTCCTGGAACTCACTTGGTAGCCCAGGCTGGCCTCGAACTCACAGACATCCACCTGGCTCTGCCTCCCGAGTGCTGGGATTAAAGGCGTGCGCCACCACTGCCCGGCCTCATGGAGACAACTCTTGCTATGATTACTAAGTTAGTCTAGTTGATGCAGTAGAGTTCAGAGATTCTCCTTTTGTGTCTTCCATCTCTCTGCAGAAGTGTAGGGTTTACAGAGGTGGCTTACTGGGCTTTAACTTTCCAGGACTGTTTGGAAACCTCAGGTCCTTGTGCTTACACAGCAAGCACCTTATTTTTCCACTGGGACATTTTCTTAATATTAGATGTGCAATTAAAAAATAATAAAAACTAAAATAGAAAATTAAGAAAATCAACTTTTTACCTAATTTTAAGCCATTGGGTATGTAATCTCATATTCTTCCTATCTAGCTTCTCAGCTTCTTCTTCTCTTAAAAACAGTCTTTGAGATTCCATGAAACTCTTTACTTCTTAATCTACTCAGTTGCTGATGGTTTCTTTTCCCTATGAAATTTGGTTCAAGATGCTACTGCATTTACTCTTCAGAGCAATTCAGTCACTGGCATGAAAGCTCCCATTAGAAAGAAGACAGAAGTAAGTGAGATACTTACAAAGTCATGTAACATTTGAACAGTTTGGTTTTGGAGTTCAGAAGACAGACTCAGGGCATAATCAAACATGTTCTTGAGGGTTCCATGGCAGGAACTATCCCAGCTGGGGCATAAACGTATAGAGGCCACATTCTCCCACAGGACCAGGTTTGACACCAGCAACACCAGGAGTGTCCCTGCTAAATAAAAAGAGGTGTCACTTGCATTGATCTAGTCTGGTTATAAAAAGTCATCATGTGGAGGAAATCTTTGTCCATCTCTGAGGCTTTCTGAATGATTTGGTTCCGTGTAACAGGAGTAGAGAATAAACCTCTTGCACTGTGCACTTGTAGGTCCATAATTATCTTTGCACTGATAGTTTGGTAGTGGGTGACTTCCTTCTTTTGGGATTGCCCATAGAAGTTTGTCTGCTGTAAACACTAAGAACTTACAGTAATTATGACTGAGCATTTTAAAGTTATTCTCTCAAGATGACTTGATATTTAGGGAATACATGCTTATTTCCAATGCTCACACTCTATGAATTTGTAATGTTTTAAACTCACTTAGGTCCCTGATGTGACAAGGACAGCACATGTCTGTCAACTGTTTGCTTAATTTTCATGCTTGATGAGAATAAACACATGATTGCCAGATTTCTAACACCAAGCATGAAGAGATTATTGTCATAAATGTGATCCCATATCCTGAATTTGATAATATGCAAAAAAGGTCATGTATGCTTTATTTAATCAAAAGGTTTTGGATATTTTTTCTAGGGAGTGGGAACAAACTAAATGACCTTCAACTGATGAATCAATAATGAAAGCATTGTACATATATACAATGGAATATTCTTTAGCTGTAAAGAAAAAGGAAATCATGAATTTTCAGGTAAATTGATGGTGTTAGAAAGTATGATACACCAACCCAGACTGAGGAAGGAAAGTGTCATGTGTTCTCTTTTATTTGTGGATCTGAATCTTTGTATTTGATTATGTAACCTGAAGTATCCAAAGATGACTGGGGAGTAAAAAGGGACCATAAGTGGGTGGAGAATTTAGGAGCTCTAAAAAACATCCTAGAAGATGGGTGCTATGAAATGGGTAATGGGGAAAATATGTCCAACTTTAATAGGAAAGAGAGAATGGTAATATAAAGGGAGAAAGATGGAACAATAACACTAAGGATGTTTTTAAAAGGCATCTGGGAGCTGAAGAGATGGCTCAGAGGTTAAGAGCACTGACTGTTCTTCCAGAGGTCCTGAGTTCAATTCCCAGAAATCACATGATGCTTTACAACCATCTGTAATGAAATCTGGTGCCCTCTTCTGGCCGCCAAGGATGCAGACAGAACACTGTATGCATAATAAATAAATAAATATTTTAAAAAATAGCTGGGTGGTGGTGGCGGCGGCGGAGGCCTTTAATCCCAGTACTCGGGAGGCAAAGGCAGGCGGATCTCTGTGAGTTTGAGGCCAGCCTGGTCTACAAAGCAAGTTCCAGGAAAGGTGCAAAGCTACCCAGAGAAACCCTGTCCCCCCCAAAAAAAAAAACCAAAAATAAATGAATTAATTATTAACTAAAGACATCTGATAATACATCATTTTATAAGACATATAAGTAAACAGATAATGATAGATGATAGATAGATAGATAGATAGATAGATAGATAGATAGATAGATAGATAGATAGATAGACAGACAGACAGACAGACAGGGGTTATATCACATAAGCAATGGTGTTCTTTCCAAGAACTCTACCTAACAAATGCACAGTGCCACGTACATCCCTCCTTTGAGTCATTTTTTGGGGAAATACAAGACCTCCAAAAATATTATGGTTTCCATGGCCTTTGATTACTTTGCAGCTAAAGATATCACATATTTAGACTTGGAGGAATAGATCTGAAAGTGTCTTAAGCCTCCTCCTTGAGAACTAGCTCTCATACTTGTGAGATACAAAGTGCTATACAAACTGTCATACTAAAGCAGGAACTGCTACTCTTTTTCTTTCAGTTTTTAAAATATTTATTCAAAAAGTATTTCATATAAGATATTTTGATTATAGTTTTAGCATTCCCAGAACTCCTGCCAGATATCCCCCAACTCCATATCATTAAATTCCATAATCTTTCTCTCACTCAATAAACCCCTATAACCAATAGTTGGCAACTGCTACTCTTACTGAGCAGTAAAACCTAAGACTGACATCAAAGACTCGGCTGGTCATATTGCCACAATTCTGCAATAGTTGTGCTTTTATCTTGAGGCAACCAACAGCTGTTTAATTGGAATTTAAGTCTACCTAAAAGGAGAGAATTCATGCCTCATCTGTACCCTGAAGCAACCACTCATTTTTGGAAATGTTATAGACATAAAAGGAGAACTCACTATACTTTTTTCCTAAACCATTATCTTTCCGTGATTTAAACGATTAACCTTTTACTCACAGATAAAAATAATTCTAATCCCTCATCAAGTTTCTTTTTCCAACATATAGAGACTATTATAGGAATCCACAGCTGGCTAAATGTGTTGGATGGCTATAGATTTCCAACCCAAACCGACATACATATCTTTGAAGCAACCCTTAGGCCCAAACTCAAGAAAAATAATAGAAGAAATGGTTGGAATATTTTAAGGGACAGAAACTCTAGACACCAGTTGCTAGATAGTGTCCCCTAAACTTAACAAGGAAAATGTTTCCATGTACTCTCAACAATAAAGTAGCCTGAATAAGATCAGAATAATAATATTAGTTGATATGCTAACATGAAGAAATGAAATTGCTCATGATCCCACCTCTAGAACCAGAACTACAGGTGGTCAGTGGCTGTTGAGAGAGTAAGAATAAGTTTCCTTTCAGGCACAAACTTCCCAAAGATTGTCTAAACCCTAGTGCTTTGCCCCTCTACATATGTACTTATAAACAAGCTTCAATGGACTCAATCTGTTGTATATACATTTAATAATAATAATTAAAGAAAGGATCATGATTTTGAAAAGACAGGGTACACAAGATGGGAGAGAGGGCCCTAGTGATGCAAATGAAGCGTTTATGTATTAAATTTTCAGGCAGAATAACATTAAATAAATTTAAACACAGAAAACAAAACTCTGTCTTCAATGATATGCTAACTGAAGCTCTAGGAAGCTTTATTCTCTTCCATTTTTCCTACCCTGTGAAACACCTACTTTAGAAAGTTTTCAGAATAGCTAGTGTTGGTTTACTCACCAGATAAACAGATATCCAGATAATCATCAGATAAACAGACAAAGGACTTTCCTGTATCAGTAAGTTATATTCACATGAAGAAAGAAAAAAATTGCAGACACATAGTTACATTAATGAAACTGTTTCTAGATTATTTTTTAAACAGAAATGGGCTTTTCTGGAAGATATCCATTATAAAAGTGGGTACATTTTAAAGATTTATGCACAGAAAAATTCATAAATTCACATATTCAAAATAAAATTTGCTAAAATACAGTGAATAATACAATATAAACAAACACCTTAGCTAAAAATTAGCATTAAATAATTTAAACTATAGTTTCATTTTCTAAAACTAATACTTTCAAAAACTGATGTATTAATGCAATTTTACATGTAATATTTGTAAATTTATATATATGAATTTATTTCATGTAACATTCCATTTCCTCAAACAAAAATTATGCAAATTCTATGTACAAAGAAAAGACAGTTTGTTAACACCACCCCATTCTTTCTTCTTCGGTGAAATTTGTCTTACACAAAATTGGTAATCAGTATTTTAATCAAATCTGCTATTAGTGTCTACTTAGGCTTCAGAACTGATTGCTTCCCAGGTTGATCTTGGTGCATAAATTCATGCATAAGACCATGAAACCTAAAAATGTTTCTTCTATTCCCTGCAGGTGATAGGAATTGGCTGCAATTATTCTTATGTCCCAATAAAATCCAATTTCTCAATTTCAGTGACAGTGACTTTCTAAGGTGTGGTATTTCTGTCCTTATAGGTACAACTATTCATTTGAAAATGTTGAAAGGCATCGGTGGCTTCTATCTATTGGAAACTGTTAATACAGTTCCCTTTTTTTCTTTACTTCAATTAAAAAAACCCAATATGTGTTGGATATTGTCACATGTGTCCAGGAGAAGGCTTACCATGTTTAAGGGCTAAGATTAAAAGACTCTCTGCCCTCATGCAGTTGTTTTCTAGAGAAATGACTGCAAAGTTCTTCTAAATCTGATATAGTTTTATTTCTCATGAGATGTGAATAAATGTCTAGTCAATCCTATAGAACATCAGTAAATGCTAAGAAAGTATTCCATTCATGCACAGGTAAGAGATTACTTACAGGAATGTGGTTGAATCAAAGTTAGCCTCATCTCAGAAAAGTCCCCCTGTAGCTTGGTGCTGATTAGTGAATGCTGCTTCACAAGAGTCCTGCCTTTAGTGAACGTTCAGCCTCTTATATACATCAGTAGATTGCCCCCAAAGGCTACACATACCATAGGTCAGAAGGAAGGAAGTTCTGGAGTTTTTGGTGAGGGTCCTTTTACTCTCCCCCTCAGGGAATGTTAAGAGCAATCACCACAGACCTAACTTTAGCTGCATTGCTTTACTTATTTTCATGCTATGACTGCATTATTTTTTAGATAGTAAAATCCATATTTGTTCTAGATGCCTGATGATCATGTTAGTCTACACAGAAATCAATTATCCAAACACATTGCCTCATATTCCTCAGGTTCTTAGATGATTTTTGCCCTCCACAATGGTCCCTGTGTCTTCTAGAGGATTATATACATACTTGATTCTTTTCAGAGGACTGGAGAACAATGGCACAACAGTTGTTGGTTTTCTCAAGAATGGAAAAGATAAGAATCTCTTCAAGTAATCCCCAAATACTGTAAAGATTATCTCTGTTCACACTAGGGTGATAGCTACAGTCATCTATAGGCCCAAACACAAATGTCTCTTATGCAATGTAATAGACCCATCATACTCATTTAACAAAACAAGATCAGTGGCTTCCATGCTGGAGTCCACTGCCTTCCAAAAAATGTGTTTTTACAGTCTTATGAAACAAAACATGGTTTTTCTTCTGGGCATCTGAGGGTAAATCAATTAAAAATGGTTTGATGGCATGTGTAGATTGTGCCACCACTATAGTACTGGCTACTTCTTGCTAAGGTTACTGATGACCAAAACAAGTGGCCAAGTAGTATCATTGGTGATATCTGTGTCTGATAAACCTATACAGTACCATTAGGCAATATGAAAGCTACTTAATGTGGAAAGGGATTCTAGATCAGTCAAAGCTTGATTTTTCCTTGTTGTAGAAGCAAACTGTATGTTTCATTCACCAACAAGGTCTATCCTGTTCTGATGTGTAATCTTGAGTAGCAGCAATAGTCTATATTATGTGATCCTCAGTGGTCTTCCTTTTCAACAACTCCAAGAGGAAAATCCATTCTAGACATGGAGATTTTATTCAATAATTTTGTAATCGCCACACATAACCTTCCAACAGACAAAACGTTCTTTCTTCCAAATTCTATTGCTGTCTTTATTGTTCTTCTAGATGATTTTCCAAATCAGTAGGCCACACAGAGGTTTGCATTATATCATGAACATTTTGTGGAGGGTGGCCAGCTTCAATAGAGTACAAATTATCACTGAGAAGCAGTGTCTAACAGAATACTGAAAAATCTAAGTAAGGTCTAATAAAACATTGAAAAGTACAAAGCTTGGTAACACTGTTCCCTGCAAAGAGCAATGTTTGTTAAGGCAGCATGAATTGGAAATACCCTTCTTCATTAGTATGAGCCTTCCTGTCTTCTCATCCCGGTATATTGCATAGGCTGCCTTCTAGGTTAGGTGAACTCATCTGGGGTACTTCTTGGCCTTGCCATGAGCCAAGGAAGAGTGTTAATCTGTTTTATTCCTACTATATCCACTTTTCCTCCAGCTGGCTGTTTTGACAGACTCTGCCTGTCCTTGTAGCCATTGGCTATTTGTTGATCACAAATCTTCTTAAAAGGCCCATGCCTGAGTGAAGAATTTCTATCTCCACAGACTCTCATTTCACATAGCAGTAGTTCTAACCCTCCAACTCCCCAACTGTTATTTTAATAAGCGTCACCAAAGTATAATCACTTTGAACACAGTTACTCTCAGCAGAGAAACACATACACTGTTCTCTCTGATAGAGGGTAATTATTCACACCGAAAACTAACTCAATACTTTTCACCTATGTTTCTCTATGTTTTACCCATCTTCTGTTGCCCATTTCCCTAGATGTTTTAGGAAGTAGCTGTGATTTGCTTATACTCATGCTACCAGTCACCAAAGCCCAATGCACATTAGAAGGAAATTAAAAAAAAATAAAGCAACACCTGTAATTCAATGTGTGGTCTTTCTAACAGCATTTGGAGGCCCTGTTGGTTATTCTTATATCGAACTTGCTGCAGTGATTCCCACCCAACAACATCTTCTCTTACTTCTATAGTAGCATGTTCTGCTGGAATCAGTGGCCCTATCTCTGACACTTCAGGGATCTATTATTCTGGTTTCAATAATGTCTAGGGGTTCATGGGCAAAGCATCTTATCTGGGCCCCTGTCAACATTTTCTTTATGATTGATGGCTTATTCTCATCAAAGATCTTGCCAGATTCACTTTTTAGTCACAATCTTTGTCAGCTTTTTTTTTTTCTCAATCCATCTTGAATTTATTAACACTCAGATCCACCAAAGCTCTCCCACTATAGCTGTGATTTCATGGTGACTCTGGCTGGGCAGGATATGTTCTGAACAGGAAAAGTTGTACATGCCCTCTCTTTTTTGTCCATCAAACTGTCCTTTTTCTAATTTAAAATTTTGAATGCTCATGAAATTTGGAAAAATTGGGATCTGAGTCTGAACTTTAAAAATGGTAAGAAATTTTCAAGCTCTTCCTGTTAAAGGAACAAAAAATCTTCAAGTCAAAAATGTTTGAGGATCTTACTTCTCACAAGACCTGTGTCTGCAGTTAACAAGAATGAATGGGGTCCACATCTCCTAACCCAAAGGAACAATCCACTTAGTGTAACTCACTGTAACACGTAAGAGTTAGATATGATCTAGCCTATGTCCTACAGTTTTCTATAGATTATAAGATGGCCAAAGGGATGATTGCAAAGATAAATTGATACTTGCCTCATCTCCTTAAGCTCAACCCTAATGCAAATATAAGAAAC